CGCCTGCAGAACAAACCTTGCCCACAAACGTCGTCTACAGTGACACCTATCATCTCCTCTCATCCAAATGCTCTCCCGCTTTCAACCCTCCTCGACTCCAAGAAGAAAGTCCCATTGTTAAATGTGGTTTCTCTCTTTTTTCGCCACTGGCGATCCCCTTTTCACCAGTGTTTCCCTATACGATTGCAATCTTATTTGATTGGGAGTTGTGCCTTCAGTCATGGTTTAGTAAAAGGCCGCTTTATAAATCTCCTCTTCAATTTTACGTTTCTAATGATTCACTCTTTGAGGTAACCGTCAAGTACTTTGAAGGAATTCAGTTTGGTCTACCTATGTGCATAACTGCCGGAATATTTGGAGCGGCACGCCTACGCAAGAAGTGGGTTACCTCCTCAGAGTGAATGTATTTATTTCCACCATGAACCATTTTCTTGTTCCGACAGAAGTGCATGCGAGATGTTAAAATAACTTAGTTCATAGTTAAATCTCGGCTAATGTTTGAAAACACTTGTTTCTGGTCGTATTTCCAACAATTTGCTAACTTTTGGATTCCTGATAACTAAGCCTTTGCAAAGCAGTCCATAGCCTCAGTTTACCTGAGCTCACCACATTTTAATAAAATAACACTTTCAGACATCGGCATCAGTTCCTGACACGAAATCTTCCGTGGATCGTGGAGCAAGCCTCAACGCGCGAGATTCTTCCTAGCTGTAGATTGGGAAAACCATTGGGAAGAAACAATACCAGAGCTTCAGGAGCGTCTTGGAGTCACTGCGTTTCAAGTAGTATTTTGGAAAGCTGTCCGATAGTTCTTTCAAGATTTCACTGATCTATTCAGATTTCTTTTCTCACATGTTGAACTTGTTTTTCGACGATTGTTGTGAATTATAACGTTGTTTCCTTGCTCAGAGCTCACATTTATTTGCTAGGTCCGATTGAATAGCTTGTTATTTCTAGTGAGATTAAACAAGTAAATATATATGGTTTTCTAAAACTATTTTTCCAACCTATTTTCATGTGTTCACAGGGATATCGAAACACAGAGGCAATCGAAACTGTTCGCCGAAGCAATTTTTGGTTCATTAAATTTTTTTCGCAAAAAAAGTCCTGACAATTAAGAAAAGTTTTTTTTTCCTGAACGTCTTGAGCCCTTTGTACCCAAGAATTCAAAGCTAAAAGACACCACAAATCATACTTGAACGGGAGTGATTGGGTGAGAGAAAATGCACGGAAAACTGTTCCAGGAAGGCTTTCGACCCCTCTGTAACTCAAGGATACGACAAGAGGAATCCCCGTGCCTATGGATGGTTGAAGGCTTTGAAACACTCACTTGTACTCATCTTTTTGGGGGAAGGTTAAGAGATTGCGAATCAATTACTGAACATCACTAAATAATTTTACCCTGCAACCGATTGATAGAACACAACGAAATCTTGGAGGTGGGGGCGCGGGTTACCAGTTGTTTCATGGAATTCCAAGCAATTAGCAAAGAAATTAGAAGATTTAGGGATTTTTTCTCGTTCTTGCCACATTTAGCTAATCCCCGTTCTCGTGCTCGTCTGAATCTTAGGGAATTTTTTAGGGAAGGGGAGCCATATAAGAAATTTCCCGAAGGGTTGTGCTTGGCATGGCTTCAAGGTACCTTCTTATGATTGAGTTTTCTTCTTCTTGCCTTTCTTTTAAGAGCTCTTTGGAATAAAAAAAAAGCCCTGTTGGAAATTCTGCTGTAGCGAAAACACCAAAATATGCCTCCCGTTCCAAATCTAAAGTCCACGACTTCGCGCTCTAATCGCAAACCGTGGACCGGTTTGCCTACAGTATCTTTTCTTGCCCATGACGTCATCGCCATTGCTCACCGTCTTCGCTCATTAAAGTCTTTGGCGACGATTTAGTCCTCGTCAGAGACTCAACACAGTCACAATGGCGAAGAATATGGAGAATACCAGCTATCGAAAGATCGATGTCGACGCTTACGATCCGGAAAACTACGATGAGAATGAGGACGGTCAGTTTTTTCGTCTTGATGAATTCATGTCGTCAGAGATTTATTTATTCTTACTGATATTAACCACAATTTCGTATTGGATTATGCTTTTTATTCTTTCATGAGCTAGAGATGAAGGATTACCAGTTACCTCCTCGTTTAACTCCCATTTTGAGGGGGTTACTGGAGTTTTGGTTCACTTAAATCATAATAAGAAAGTGAGGTATTGATTGAAAGTGGTGCGGTAAATGGATTGGATGGATATATTGTTTTGAGTGCTGTCTATTTAGGGGTGGAGGACATGCACCAGGAAGTACCTTGCGTTGGGCAGAAGGCTGGGAATTTTCACCTAAGCCTGGAGTGGGGGAAGGAGCTTCGGGTTGCCTAAACCCTTTTTTAAGTGATGTGAAAACCCCTTTCTCCACAGGTAAGTTTGTTCGCTCACCCGGCGCTTTCCTCTCCATCCCGGACTTC